TGCCCCGAGGCGGGCGATCTTTTCGTCGAAGAGGCGGAGCCAAGGATCAAGCAGTCGCGGGGCGCAGACAAGCTGGCCGTCGTCCACAAACCACTCGTCGCACACCCCGCGGGCGCGAGTCGCTGCGAACTCCTCCGCCGCGCGGCACCTCGCGTCGCCCAGGGGGAGCGCGGCCTTGATGGGCCCGAGGGGCTCGCCCTGCTCCGCGCCATGATCGAAACTGAACTCCGCACCATCTGGTAAAAAGACGTGCCGACCTGCTGCTGCTCCCAATTAACCGTGGCCTCCGCCTCCTGGAAGTGCAGGGCAATAGACTCTCGGATCGCCGGCCACTCGACGGTGTTGAAGAAATTGGCCATGTCGAGGTCCGCAGCCACAATTGGCGCGATGACGCCCGCCCGAGCCGCTTCCTCCATCGTGGAACGCCAGTGGCATAGCGCCTCCGCTCCGCCTGGAATGGCAACCACCCACTGCCGCATCCCAAGAAGCTTGGGCCGAAGGCGGTGTTCGCAGTCCCGCGGCGTGCGTTTCGCGGCAGCGGCGCGCAAGGCCTCACCCACCTTCAAGGGGCGCGGCGCGTGCCCGCGCGGCCCCAGCGGCTGGGCCGGGCCGGGCGGCGCTTTTTTCTATATGAAGATGGATCGGGATCGGGTGATCCAGCGCGCCTCTTCACACAGGCGCCCGCCCGCGATGGCGTCGAGCAGGCGGGCGAGCGCGCGGAGCAGCTCATTGGCCAGCCGCCGCTTCCACGCGCCGAGCAGCTCGGCAATGTGCTCTGGGCGTAGACCAGAAGGCCTTGCGCAGCGAAGCGGACGCCTCGGAGCGGACGGTCGCGTTCGCCGTCGGCCTCCGCCTGAAAAAACGTCCACCTTCCTGCGGGCTCGGGGCAGCCGGCGCGGAGGTCGGGTCCCGTGCCGGCGGGTGCAGCTCGCGCGCCCAATGCATGTTGCTGTCTGCGCTCAGGTTGGCAACGTTGGTGGTCATAGTGCCGACCGCCTTCCGATAGGCGCCCTGTATTGCCTGCCTAATGGCCTGTGCCTTTCTCCTGTCTTGGACCTCGTCGCCAGGCGGCCCCCGCCTCCGTCGGCGCCCAGGCCAACGTGCACTCGCGAACTGCATCTCGACCCGATTGAGCAAATCGCCGAAGGCACGCGCCCGGAACAACCCAATACGATGGGCGACCTCCCCATTGACGTGCATGCCCTTGGGGATTGCAGCCAGAAGGAGCTTGGACCGTCCCTCTTCCAGGGCGGACCAGCCAGGCTTGCCCGCCGCCATGCCGGTCCAGCACTCCTCGGTGAGGGCGGCGGCCCGCTCGCGGCACGCAACCGGGAAATGCACCAAGGTGGACGGCGGTATCCGCCTGGCGCGTGCTGTGAAGCCCTCTGGCAGGAGTACGTCGCCGATGTTGTCGGCAGTAGGCTCGGCCGATGGAGGAGGCTGCACGGCGGCCTGTGCGGCCCTGAGCGGCACTCCCCGCCCGCCAGGGATTATGTCCCCGGCTACCAGAGGCCGCACGGCATGTGACCCCGCACACCGGTGGCACTGCCGAGTGCCAATGCGGCGAATGCATCCGCACCCCGGGCCGACGCATACAGCCCGCTCGAGTCCGCGCATGACAGTGAGCATTGGCTGGTCGACGGCCGTGCCCTCGTGGCACGTCGTGACGTGCCTCATGAAACCTGAGGCGGTGTTGAAGCGGGCGTCGGCGCACCAGGGGCAGGCGCATCCGTCCTCGGCGAAGGGCCCTGGCGGCGGCTCTACATCAAGCGCCGCGGGGGCCGCCATGGGCGGACGCGGCGGGCTGCCGCTCCCGATGTCGTCGGGAGCCCCTGCATGGCCGCCTACCCCAGAAGCAGCTGCCGCGCCATGTCCCAGAGACGCGCCAGCGGGACTAGCGGCGCTCGCGCCTGCAGGCGCTATGGGCGCGGCCCCCCGCTCCGCTGCTGCGCTGGCTGCTGGTGCAGGCGGCAGTGGCGAATCGCGAGCCCGCGCGCAAACTCGCCGCAGCTCTGGGAGCGGGGTCCCCGCGTCCTGCTCCATGTGCGCGTGGGGGTCGAGGAGCATTTCCTCGAGGGGCAGGTCAAGGCCCGCGACGTCGGCCCCAGCGCCAATTCCATCGCCACCAACGTCGACGTCCGCCGCGTCGCGGGGCTCGTCACCATCTGTGAGGTTGCGCCGCAGTTGCCTCCGCGGGCGCCAGTCGTCGGCGACGTCGATGAAGGTGTTCCGCACCTGCACTGGGCCTGCATCCCCATAAGGCTCCCTTCGCGAAGGTCGCGGCCCCCGCTGGGGGCCGAACCCCGCGGGCAGATCCCCCGGGGCTCCCTGCAGCGCCCCGCGCCCTCCGCCCCCGCTGGGTCTCTCACTCTGCATTGGCCCAGCCTCACCCAGTGGCGCAGCAGCCGCAGCACTCGCGTGCGCAGCTGCAACAGGCTGAAGAGCCTGCTGCGCCCGGTGCCCACGGCAGACGTCCCCGCCTGGCTCGGCTTGGCCCTCCACCCCGTGGGCCAGGCATACGCGGCACCGCATCGGGCACGGCGCCCCTCAGCGGCGGCGGCGGCGGCAGGACATCGACCGCTCCTCGATGCCGAAACGGTCCGGTCGGATAGATACGGGCCCTGATCTGTCAGGGGGTGGTCAGACTCCGAGTGACCACGCCCGCTAAGGGCATGTGGCTCGACACACTGCTGGCTCTGGGACGCGACCGCACCACTCGACGGGGAACAGAGCCGGCGCCACTCGGAAGACACGACCGCGCACAAGGCGGATGCGACAGGGGCGCGACCGACGGCCGCCAGCGGCCGCAATCACCACGGGCCAGCGTCGCCAGCAGCAGTGCGCCCCTTTCCGAGAGCATCCTGGGTAACTCGCTGGCGCTTGCTCGCTTGCTCGCACTGGCGTGATGAGCCATGCTGAGCCGAAGGCCACGGACGGCAATGGACTTTGATGCTGGCGACAACGAGGCACTGAATGATGCACTACTGTAAAGGACCGGCCCAAAGTCGAGTTTGGGGGCAACCGTGACGTATACAGAACCGGGAGTTTTGCGTCAGCCAGGGCGGCTTCGGGGGGGGCGTCTACAGAATCGGGAGTTCTGTATCATCGAAGACGGCCTGATCCAGATGCCAACCCATCCCCCAGAAGGCTCTAGGCGGGGCGCAGCTGCAAGAACGCAGCGGCCGTCAGCGGCCGCCGACACCACAAGATGCACCCACACTTGCTATCCTGCCCCAGAGCCCAAGCGGTCAGAGCACAAGACCCACACGTCACAACATGACACTGAACACCTGGAGATCTGGGCAGTGCGAGACGGGGGAGGGGGGAGAAAGGGGAGGAGGAGGAGAAGGAGGAGGAGGAGGAGGAGGAGGAGAAGGGAGGGGGAGAGGGGGAGGGGGGGAGGGCAAGCTAGGTGCGCTCGCGTCATATCTGACGTCCTACCCCTCCCTCCCATCCCTTACCATGGCGCTGATTTTCTCTATCCGCGGACGCGTGTCGTAGCGGACCTGTGGCTCCGCGCGCGCGTGCGTAGTGGGTGGTGGTGCACGTGCGTGCGTGCGTGCGTGTGTGCGTGGTTGTCGGTGGTGTGTGCGTGGTGGTGGTGTGTGGTGGTGGTGGTGTGGTGGTGGTGGTGGTGTGGTGGTGGTGGTGGTGTTGGTTGGTGTGGTGGTGTGTGGTGGTGTGGTGGTGGTGGTGTGGTGGTGGTGGTGGGTGGTGGTGGTGGTGGTGGTGTGGTGGTGGTGGTGGTGATGGTGGTGGTGGTGGTGTGGTGGTGGTGGTGGTGGTGCTGGTGGTGGTGGTGTTGGTGGTGGTGTGGTGCTGGTGGTGGTGGTGGTGGTGGTGGTGGTGGTGGTGGTGGTGGTGGCGGTGCGGCGCGGTGGTGGCGGGCGGATGGGCGCGCGAGAAAAAGGCCCGCGCTGGGGCGAGAACGCCATCCTGAACGACGGAGGCCAAGCACCGATCCGAAAGTAAGGCCCACGCTGCAGCGGGAGCACGATTCGGAACGATTCGGGAGCAGAAATGAAACCGGCGCCTCAACGAGAGCAGCATTTTGGGAAAAAATGACGCCGGCGCCTCAGCGAGAGTCGTTTCCTGGGATTTCCCGGGCATCCTGTGTAAAAAAACAATACGCGGAGGGTGCGCGGCCATCAACCGGACGCCCTCAGGGGAAGGATTCGGGAGCAGAAATGAGGCCGGCGCCTCAACGAGAGCAGCATTTTGGGAAAAAATGACGCCGGCGCGAGAGCAGCATTTTGACAAACTAATTACGCTGGCGCCTCAGCGAGAGTCGTTTCCCGGGATTTCCCGGGCATCCTATGTGTAAGAAAACAATACGCGGAGGGTGCGCGGCCATCACCCGGACGCCATCAGGGGAAGAGGGAGAGTATATTCATATTGAGTAATTGTGGAGGGGGCAAGCTACCCACCTGTCCCTTGACCCTCCAAATGGCAGGTATAGGATCCATCATTGGCTCTGTAATCGCCGAAGGGGTCTGTGTAGCGGAGGAGCAGCAGGGGGGGCGGAGGTAGCGAAAGGAGGGAAGCGGAGCAGAGAGAGAGGCGGGGGAGGCGAAGAAATCCGATCAGGAAATGTGACCCGCGCAGGGACGAGAGCGCCATTCCCGACCGAAGACGTTCTGATGGACGAACACAGGTGTCAAAATACCCTTTCTGAGCTCCTGTATAGAAGCGATGCGCACGCGGAAGGGGTGGATTAGAACAGCCACGTCGTCAGGACTGCGAGGAGACTTGCACTCATCGTGGGCCATCGCATGAGAGGGCGGAGGGGGAGAGAAGCGAGGGGCAGCGGGGCAGACCGCCAGACGGGCAGAGCCGGGGGGGTAGAGGGAGAGAGGGAGAGGCGGCTGGAGGAGAGAACGTCGCCGCCCGACCGCCCCGCCGCCGACGACGGTGACACCAGCGACAACAACGCGGCCGACGACGACGACGGCGACGCCGACGCCGCCGCCGCCGGCAGCGCCCGACCGCCCCCCCGCTGCTGCCGCGCCTCGTGGTCGCCGTTGGGGAAGACGACCACCTCGAAGCTGACGGGGTCCCGCGCGCTGAGGGGGCGGCGGCGGCGGCGCACGCCCCAGCGGATCCGTAATCCGCACACCGCCCCCCTCCCTCGCTCGTTTTCCCTTTCCCGATCTTGGGTATCCCAATGGATTCCCGCGGATACTTCTCAACGGACTCGCTTGAGATGTATTCCAGTGGGCTCCCAGGAATTCCACTTGAGTCCTATGGAAGCTCCGTGGACTTCAATGCACATACCAATGGACCCCAGGGACCCCTATGGATATCCCAAGGGATTCGTATTGGTGTGCCCACGGATTCCCATGAACCCAAGTGGACTCCAATAGTTACTCCTATGGAGTGAAACGGAGAGTCCAATGGGTATTCCGATGGAACCATATGAATATTCCAGTGGAATCCTGTGGAGTCCACTGGAGTCCGATGGAATCCGATGGAGCCCAATGGAGCTCAGTGAAGTCCAGTAGGTATTCAAATGGAGCCTACTGGAGTCCAATGGAGTCTAACAGAGTCGAATGGAGCCCAATGACGTCCAATAAAGTCTAAAGGAATACAATGGAGTCCAGTGGACTCCAGTTGAGTCCAACAGAGCCCAATGGAGTCCAATGGAGCCCCATGGAGTCATATTCCAATGGAGTCCTGCGGAACCCACTTGAATCCAATGAAATCCACTGGAATCCTGTAGCATCCCTCGGAAATTTCCCATCTGGAGTCAACGCCAGCAGAAATGGACAGCTTGCCAGCGCTGTTGAGCGTTTTGGGAAATGCTTATGGTCCCTTCTGAACCTCTGGATGCTCGGGGCCATTGGAGGTCCCCAGAGGCCTGCGGCAACCTCCGGGGACCTCTGGAAACTACAGAGGACGCCACGCACTGCGCGCGCGCGCTTAGTTTCTAGTCGATTCCCAAGACACTGTCAGCAAGATCGACTGGGGAAGCCGGACGCTGTGAAGAGCTGCCAGAGGGTGGTGAGACATTACCTTCTCCTCCTCCTCCTCCTCCTCCTCCTCCTCTTCCTTCTCCTCCTCCTCCTCCTCCTCTTCCTTCTCCTCCTCCTCCTCCTCCTCCTCCTCCTCCTCCTCCTCCTCCTGCTCATCTGCCTCTCCGCGCACTCGCCCAAAAAAGTGCCCAAAAATGCCGACCCCTTGGGGTCGTCGGCGTGTGAGATGCTTCCCCCTCCCCAAACCCCTCCCCCCGGGGCCTGGTCTGGTCGGTTTGGAGGGGGAAAGGTCCGGCCAGTCGAAAACAAGCTGGTAAGCTTAGGTATATATTACGCCTTAGGCGTTCCCATATCCCAGGCTTTGGCTCATATCGCATGAGCAAGAGAGCAAGACGAAGCATGGGATCTGGAGTAAAGGATAGGATGGGCATCGTCAATGGAAAAGGTATTTTCCGATCTCAGATACGAATCGTGCGCCTCGGTGAGGCACAATCACATATTTGGCCGGGCCCGGCTTGAGCCAGGCACGGCAGCGGTACATGCTCGATGTATACCTCGCCTTTAACCTTCTCCGTTTAAAGTCGGAGGGGGAGGAGACGAGCAGGCACCGCACTTCTACATTACGCGGAAAAACAGTGCTAAGCAGCAGCGGCTGCCTACAAGGCAAGGGCGCGCGAGTAGCCTCGCTACCGGCGAGTTTCCTCGCTACTAGAGCGCACCTGCATGCGGGTTTCCCCGCTAGCTCGGGAGGCAGGGCCGTCCTGAGACGACCTGCCCGCCCTATACGGTGTATGTTTCTTCAGCTCGTGCTTGAAGGATTGCTGGCCGGCCATTACTTGTAGGAGCAACGCGCGGTCAATACTACCTTTGGTATGACCATCGGCAGTCATATCCCGCGTGTCACACCATTGAACGCTTTCAACGATTCCGCGCTCCATCATCTGGCGGATCCAGCTAATGTGCCCAAGCAGAGTACATTCTGTGGGCTTCTTCAGATCTTTGCTAGACAAAGACTTGAAGACAGACTCGGCATCAATAGTCAGAGTGACTTTGATACATAGACCACCCATTTCCAATATGTTCTTTAACTGTGTGGGGGTCAATGGTCCCGAGTGTAGCTCGTGGAGCGTTACAATGGTCGGGTAGCAGTCTTCCAAGTTGTGGGCTGCTGCCAGTGTTTCCGCAGAGTAGCTCGAACGCACCTGCAGTCGATGAGACTTGCAGTATGCGTCCACCAGGTGCACGACGGGTTTCCCCGCTTGCGTGTGGCCACGCCTCAGCAGGTTAGCCCCGCGGATACCATAGCCTTTGACTTCGTCGTCTTCATCTCCGTTGAGACGACGATAGCCAGAATCGCTATGCAGGTCGACTTCTCCTGTTGGGGTCATAGCTTGATACACGATCTTCTTCGGACCTGCCTGTAGTTTCCTGGTAACCGCGTTTAGTCGTCGTACCTGGATGTTTGTCGGTTCCTGGATACGTTGTAGTGAGACAACATAGACCATCAGCCATACCTGCGTGATCAACGCATAGGCTAGAGCGCCACGAAGACTGACGAACATATCAGAAATCGTCTTTGTCGCTTTGCTCTCAGGATCAGCTCCTGTGAGTTCTGGATGTGTGATAGGACGAAGCTGTTTGATGTATTCGTCCTGATCAAGAGTGACGCTCCCATCATCGGTCTTGTTATACCGAACGGCACAGTTTGTGTATGTGTGCTTGTTCAGTTTGCACTTTCCAAACGTATCTTCAACACACTTGACATACTTGTCAATAGCATCTTCCTTCCCAGTCATATTGATGTCATCAACGTGTTTGGCTGTCAAGAGGTTTGGGCTCATCTCGAACTCTTCGTCGTATGAAGTAGGCTGTAGCCCAAAGCTCCTAGTGATGGACCTGAGCTTCAACGAGAATGCCCTGGGAGCATCCTTCGTGCCCGTCCCCGGCTTCAGACACCGAAGACAATGCTTTGATTCGTCATATGACTCAAAGCCTGGCAGTGTGCGAAGGACAGCTGCTGACCCAGGAGGTAGTGTGAAGCACACCACACGCTCTTTCTCGCCCGTTGCCGCGGCGAGCTCGCTATAGGTCAGTCCCTTCAAGAAAGCCATGTTGATGTCCAGGGAAGCGATGATCCAAGCTTTGTTGCATGCAGCAGAACTTGCGAGCAGTCTCTGGCTTGACCTCCTTGCCGTGCCAGAGAAGGTTTCGACATCAAAGGCTTCAAGGTCCATGAAGCCACGGAGTACCAAGCGTAACCTGATCGCCCTTTCCATTTCGCCCTTTTCGTTCTTGACAAACTTCCATTTGTATACGTAGCGTGAAGTCATGATGTTAGACGCTTTGCTCAAGTCAGTCATCTGAAAGCATTTATTGTCAAGCCAAGTCTTCAATTCTGTGTAAAGGGCTTTGGAAACTTTGACCGGATTTGCTTGGATGTCGGCCTTCGTGAGTAGATCGTCTTCCTTGACGACCACGGCACGTTTGGAGGCAGCACTAACGTATACTCGCATAGTTGTGACGCTGCTGTCATCCAACAATCGGCGTTGCTGCTCGGACAGGACGACTTTGGACATGTCTGCTGTGAAGCAGAGCTCGATGTACTTCCCGTGCTCATCGGAGTCCAGATCATATTTGCTATCCGGATCCGTGGAGCATAAAGGAACGTAGTAAGAAGTGTCCATGTCGTATCCTGGCGGGTGACCCCGCTCCGGCAAGTGGCCTTGCACATCTTCACAGGTCGTAGAGACTAACACACACTGTGTGTCTGTCATGTATGTGGGAACTGTATGCATGACTTCTTCTGTGTCAGCTTCAAGGAGTGTTCTGTCATCCATCAGTTCAGCATACCACGACTTCAAGACAAAGGCATCCAGATCTTCTTCTGTTTCCTCTATGATGGTCGGGAGCCGACCATCGTTCTCCGCAGGAGGCTGCTCAGGAGCAGCTGCTGGAGGTGACTCGCTTGGTGGTGGACCATCAGCGAGTTCCTCAAACTTAGTGAGGTCTCGGTCAAATCCAGCAGGCGGCTTCCTGGATTTAAGACACTGGATGATGCGTGAGTGTGTAGATCCTGTGATGTCGTAGATGTTCAAGGCAGTGCCATCAGCTTCATAGTAATGAAAACCAGGGGTCACATCATTATCATAGTGCACTAGTGTACAGCTGTCTGCATAGGGTGCAGCAGGCAACTTCGTCAGGCTCTTGGCAAGTCGTACAGCAACAACGTTTTCAATACGAAAGTAGTTGCGTATGAGGTACTGAAGAGCCAAGTGCACCTTAGGCGAAAGTCGGCTCGCAGCAGTCATCTGCAGCCGACCCTGTTTCGCTGGTAGATATCCGAAAGTCATGGCGGGTTTCCCCGCTGGCAGACCGGCAATAAAGGCCAATACTGTCCGAAGGGCCGTATTGTCCGATCCTATCTCGCGGACCATAAGTGCTTCGATGTACAGCGTGTGTCGTGTGTCAGGATACTGTACTCGCACCTCGCGACTACCGACCTTCACGATGACCTGGCCTCGGTCAGGTTCGTTGCGGATGACCGGGTATGGACCACTCCATCCACCCCAGTCGTCTTTCGTGGTGGTCGGGCGATGATAGTCCACGAGATCTCCCTCTTTGTAGTGAAATTCACCCGTAGCAGTAGTCTTCGTACGGAGAGCCCTGTTCGTCTTGGCAACCGCAGTGGCCTGCGTGATTGCCTCCAGACTAACCCTCCTGATTGTTTCCTCCCTTGAGTGATCTGATGATTCAGCGGACTGATCATGATCCAAGACAGGGAAATCGGGAAGCATAGCTGGTTGTCTGCCATACAGCGCATTGTACGGAGACACTTCATTGTAGAAGGTAAATGCGTTGCTGGCAAACAAGGCTTCATGTAAAAGACGAGTGAAATTCAGAGGAATATTTAATCTATTCAATTCTTCTCCCATCACGTGTATGAGGTGTCGCAGGATGCCGTTCCTAGCTTCGATAGTCGTGGCGTGTTGGCCACGCGCTCGGATACGAAGCTCTGTTCCCTTAGCCTTAAGGATGGCCTTTGCTGTATCGTTATTCAGTGCTCCTTCCCCATCGGAGTATAAGATTTTAGC